GAAATAACTTTGATATATGTATCTAGGTATTTAGATCGTAAAACACAAGAAACCCTTTTATTCCCTCTGTCTAAGCACATAAACATGGCTCCATGTGGCTTTAATTAAGGCACTGTTTAACCGCAAATTTTGTGACCGAAAAGCCGGTTTTGCAATGTACTACTATTGACACGTACTAGTTATTCACGTGGTAATGAGCGAAACAGAACGTTTGACGGTGAAAACTTGGTGCAGAGAAATTTAGACTTTATTGACATTGCACTTGCCTTGGTTTGCTGAAATTTTAAGCTTGTTTTATGAGTTTAAATTGGTCTACCGGATGGAAGTAATTTTTCGATATTATTATTAATAGAAATGTGATGTTTGTACTTTCATTTAGAGCTTTTTAAAACAATGATAATTATGAACTTGATCTATTTTTCCTCTTGTGGCTAGTTACTCACTGACTTATCTTGAGTTACTTGATTCAACATTTTTATCTTTCATTTCGTTCTTATCTATATAAATTCTCCGGTCTTTAAACAACTGACTATTGATCACAGCTTTAAAAGTGACAAGAATTAGTACTAATCACACGATTTATCAGACCACTAGGAGATTAAATCCAGACGCTTCGGACGTTTATACTGGCATTCATTTAGTAAAGTTGAACTGGCCACAATGTGCAAGCCTCATATCTCCTGATGCAGTAACCCTCAAAAGTCGGGACCTGGCTGTCTGCCAAGTGGCCCGCGTTAAGATACGAACCACTTCGAGTGGCTAATCCCGGCTTATTGCTGATAAAGAGCAACTCATGCGTTATTTCAGGATAAAACCGCCGTCTAATTACCGGGTACAATTTAAAAACGTTCATTAAGGAATTTTAAAATGGTCTCAGGTTTATACGATTTGGAAAAATGTGGTGAAGATTGTATTCTAAAAGAGTTAAGTGTAGGAAAGCCATGTTTCGGCACGATTGGGCCGGCGGGAGTGATACCACGGCCTCACAGAATACCGATGTGAAACAACGCTTGCGTTGTGTTTCGTCGTTAATAAGGTTACCGGAGGCCCAATTACCAAGAATCTTCATATTCCTAATCCCCAAAAGGTTGGTAACGCTTTTGTGACGCTTCTACTGTTTCGGGTGTACATGGACGGGGCCGATTGCTTACCATCAGGTGATCCGTCTGCTCGTTCACCGGTTGATCGCATAAAAAGAAAGGTTCTGGAAGAATTTTTATACGATAAGTATGTCTTGTTGAAACATCCATCGTACCAATTATAATCGTTTGCCGATTGAAGGCCATTTTTTGCGTCGGTCTCATTCGGATCTTTATCGATTGCCCAAAAGATAATATTTTTATCGATATTTTCAATTTAATCAGCAAATCTCTAACAACCGATCATGAATAATGTTATGTCCGCCTGTAATCGATTCATATCTGATTCATTAATTATTACAGTTTTATACCTTGTGTTGTAGTGCTGTGATTTGAAATAGTACAACCTAGAAATGGTTTTCAAAATTATTGTATTTTCTATTTTTATTTTATTTTGTACTCAAATTACTTTGGGATATGAGCTAAATATTTTACATTATAATGACTTTCATGCAAGGTATGTTTTCTTTTGTCAGTTGATTTATTGGTACATTATTAATTGTGTTGTACAGAAGGAAAGCGAATGTTTATTTCAGTGTAAAAGTCAGTTTATTTACTTGTCAGGAATCTGTAATGGTTTTTTATAATAAGAATAAAAAGTCAGTCAGTTATATTTAAATAAGTCAACCAATAAATAAATAGTGTGCTGAGTTCAGACAATTGTTGAACTCACTGCAATTTTAATAAAATGACAGTAACAAGAAATAAGCCATTTAATATTGCTACATTATAATAATTTTCTGGTAAATAACTCTCAGAATTAATTTCAAAAGGAGTATTTTATGGAACTCAGTAGATATCAAACTTTGAAAAGGTATTTGTAGGAATTGTAAGAGCTAACAACAATTCCATAGTCAATAGCAGAATTCAACAAATTCAGTCGTGCGTTTGACAGCTCAGTAGTTAGACAGCTGAATGATTTCCCATTTTTTGTTTGGTGTTATTTAACGAGTGTTGTAAAATCGAACAATTTTTGACTGAACGTTTGATATTTCGTTTTGTTCGTACTAGCTTCTGGTAGCGGTTTCACCTGCATTATCGGGTTAATAAGCTTTGTTTGTTTCATTTTAGTATAAATTTTTCCCACGTAAGAATTTTCTCCCACGGACGCTACAACGTGGGATTCTTCAAGAGGGGAGCGAATAGGTTTCTTAAGGGTCGGCAAGACGCATGTAATGTCCCAAGTGTTGTAGGCGTACATAGGCCACGGTAACCGCTTAGCATCAGGTGGGCCGTGTGCATTTTGCCACCGTCGTGGTATAAAAAAAAAGATATATCTAGAAGTTTATTTAGATCCGTTCTATAGTATTTGTGTGAAAGAGTAAATAAATATACATTTTATCCCCATAAATACTTAATAATTTGGATCAACATTTTAGATGTTATTGTTAGATTTGTAATAGGAGGCACCTATCACTTTCGATTTCCAGTATTGATCAATGGTATATTATGTTTTAGATTTGTGGAAACCAGCCGATTAGGAACTCCTTGCAATCAGACAGCTGATACTTGCATCGGTGGCTTTGCTCGCCTCGCCACCTTAGTTCGTCAGCGCTTAGTCAGTGAACCGGACTCCCTTCTTCTCAACGCTGGTGATAGTTTCCAAGGAACTATTTGGTACAATATCTTACGATGGAATGTCACCCAGGACTTCATGAATATGCTTCCTCATGATGCTCATGTTGGTTTGTTGCTGAATTTTTTATTTTTATTATTAACATTGAACTTGATACCATTGATCGAAATCGATAGGATAGTTTTAAGTGGGATTCTAATTTCAATTTTTATATGATGGTTATTTTGTAGAACATCATTATATCTTTGTATCTAACTAGCTTCAGCCAGCGTACTCTCTCTTCCCTTGGGATAAAAGCGGTCTATGTTTTATTCCAGACTATAATCTACCCTTGTTCATAATTTTATCTTAATTCCTTTAGCTGTTTTGATGTGAAAGAGTAACAAACACATACAGATATATCCTCATAAACTTTCGTATTTATAATATTTGTACGATATTTGGAAGCACGATAGAATCCTCATAAAATCAAGCTATTTTATTTTTCATGACTATAAGTTGTAGGTACATTATAACCCATTATTAAATCATGATAATTATAATCACATAGTACTTTATGTTGGAAATAATTTCTTATATTACTTTCACTAGAGCCACCTTAGTTCGTCAGCGCTTAGTCAGTGAACCGGACTCCCTTCTTCTCAACGCTGGTGATAGTTTCCAAGGAACTATTTGGTATAATATCTTACGATGGAATGTCACCCAGGACTTCATGAATATGCTTCCTCATGATGCTCATGTTGGTTTGTTGCTGAATTTTTTATTTTTATTGTTAACATTGAACTTGAAACCATTGATCGAAATCGATACGATAGTTTTACGTGGGATTCTAATTTCAATTTTTATATGATGGTTATTTTGTAGAACATCATTATATCTTTGTATCTAACTAGCTTTAGCCAGCGTACTCGCCCTTCCCTTGAAATAAAAGCAGTCTATGTTTTATTCTAGACTATAATCTACCCCTGTTCCTAATTTCATCTTAATTCCTTTAGCCGTTTTGACGTGAAAGAGTAACAAACACATACAGATATATCCTCATAAACTTTCGTATTTATAATATTTGTAGGATATTTTGAGGCACGACAGAATCCCCACTAAATCAAGCTATTTTATTTTCCATGACTATAAGTTGTAGGTACATTATAACCCATTATTAAATCATGATAATTATAATCACATAGTACTTTATGTTGGAAATAATTTCTTATATTACTTTCACTAGACGTAAATAAAATTCCATCAGCTTCCAGAATGATAACTAGAAGTAATATTCAACAGGTACTAGGAAACCACGAGTTTGACAACGGTATTGAAGGAGTAGTGCCTTATTTGAAACATTTGAACTCAACAGTTGTAACAGCCAACATTATTGATGATCTCGAACCAACAATACAAGGACTATATGAAAAGAGTATAATTATCGAGAGAAATAATAGGAAGATTGGTATCATTGGAGTTTTAATAGCTACTACTGATGTAAGTATTTCTGATTTAAAACTCGAAATCCGCATGGTAAGAGGAAATAATCATTAGGTCTTCTAGAATGATATCAACTTTTGAATTTCATCCTAATATATTTAAAAATAATTTCGAATTTTAGATTCTAGCATCTACAGGAAGACTTAAGTTCAAAAATGAAATTGAAGCCGTCAGAGAAGAAGCTGAAAAATTGAATGCACAAGGTGTAGATATAATAGTCGTTTTATCACATTGTGGTCTGGATATTGACAGGTAAAACTTTATTTTTGTATTTAAAGATCCTCATTCCGCATTCAGTTTTATGGAACATTGACTTCATCATTATCATTAACAGCCTATAAGTACCCACTGCTGAGCAAAGCTTCTTCTCACACGGAGTAATTTTGAGCACTAATCACCACGCTTGCTCATTGCGGGTTGGCGATTTCAAACTTATAACTAAAAATTATAATCTTAGGGTTTATCACGATGTTTCGATTCTTTCACCGTTTGTTAGATTTCTAAATAATCCTAAATAATTTTAGTCTAGATAATCTTAGAAAGTACATTAAACTCGGAAACAGTCAAATTGGTACTTGCCGTGGGTAGGTTTCGAACTCGCACCTTCATGCATGAAAACATTTACTCGTGTAGGTGAAACCCATAATTATACAGTAGACTTGGTCTCCACGTCAGCTCAAGGGTTCTCAAAGCAGAAGAAGAACATAAAGAAGAAGAATACAACTTCGAGAATAGGTCTTGTGACCTCTTTAATGGATCTATTTGTGTTGTTTCCAGAGAAATAGCTCTTCATGCTGGACCGCAAATAGATATAATAGTTGGAGGACATAGTCACACGTTGCTGTTTAATGGAGAAGCACCCGAAAATAGTGGTTTCATTCCATTAGGGCCTTATCCTGTGGTAGTGGAACAAGGAAATAGAAAAGTAATTCATTTGCTAATTAGCATCTTTTACTCCAATTTGTATTTTTTTTGTTACATTTTCGATTTTAAGTCAGTACAATAAAGTTGAAATTCTTACAGAAAAAATGACAGACTTTGCATGTTACAATACAATCTGTGTGTCTGACAAAATATTTTACAATAACATCATTTTCAAGAGCATTTTATGAAAACTTTCAGGTTTTAATCGTTCAAGCAGCAGCGCATACTCAATATTTGGGAGAAATTAAATTAACCTTTGATGACAATGGACATCTAACCCACTGGGCGGGAAACCCACACTATATTGGAAATGAAATCGAACAAGGTATGGTGGAATTAATTTCTCAGTAGGAATAATTAATTAATAAAATGAGTCTCCAAAATAACTTTTAAAAGATTTTTCCAACTAGTGCAGTTTTTTTTTTTAGTTTCCAACGGTTTTACTTGCCTTGACACCCGTTTTTTTGTTTGGATCGAATTCCTTACCAATCTTGATCACAGATCAATCAGATTTCTGATACTATATAAATAAGAGTTCTTATTC